TTTGCTTTTCTTTTTAATGAGGATATTTCAAAAATGCTGGGGTGCAGGAATCAAAGCAAAGGATGCAAACAGACTGAACAAACTCATTAGGAAGGCCGAGTCTCTTGTTGGCATAAAGCTCGCCACCCTGGAGGAGGTGATCAGTAACAGAATGCTGACAAGACTGCTGGCAATCATGGACAATGAAACCCACCCCATCCATAACACACTGGACGACTTGAAGAGCAGTTTCAGCAATAGGTTCCTTCAACCTTGCTGTCTGATGGAACATTACAGGAGATCATTCCTTCCTGCTGTTACCAGACTCTGTAATTCTTCCACTTGGGTCAGACCCACACATTCGGAACAGAATTAATCAAACTTTAATGCACCGTGTCACTTTTTAATACCACTACATAGTTGCACAAATAGTTGTCCTTTTATATTCATAGTTATACCTATATCTCAATATTTATCCATTTATCTTAGTCTTTATCCATTATAACTCATTTTATATGAGTGCTTGTTGTTTGTTGTATATTTGCTGCTATGACAACTCAAAGAGCGATTCAGAAGACCCCTATGAAAAGACCATCGTAGGAACAGTTCACCCTGCCCGGGATAGGGTTACCGGGGCCTCGACCTGGAGCCAGGCCCAGGGAGGGTGCCCGAGAGCAAGCGTCTGGTGGCCGGGACTTGGTCCATGGGGCCTGGTCGGGCACAGCCGAAAAAAGGGACATGGGCCCATCTTCCTGCAGGCCCACCACCCGCAGGAGGCACCGTCGGGTCGGGTTCAATGTGAGCCGGACAGCGGCCAGGAGCGGAGGTCCTGACAGACCGAACCCTGGCTACCAAGACTGGCAACTGGGACATGGAATGGGGAAGGAGCCTGAGCTAGTGCATGAGGTTGAGAGGTACTGGCTAGATATATACGGGCTCACCTAAATGCATGGCCTGGGCTCTGGAACCAGCCTCTTGGATAGAAGCTGGGCTCTGTCTCAGTCTGGAGTTGCCCATGGTGAGAGGCGGCGGGCCGGGGTGGGTATCTCTGTATCCCCTCAGCTTGCTGCTGGTATGTTGGGGTTTCTCCCAGTGGATGAGAGGGTTTGTTCCCTTCGCCTTCGGGTCAGGGAATGGGTCCTGACCGTCGTCTGTGCTTATACGCCAAGCGGCAGTTCAGAGTACCCAGCCTTCTTGGAGTCCCTGGGTGGGGCACTGGAGGGTGCTCCTCATAGGGACTCCGTTGTCCTACTGGGAGACTTCAATGCTCATGTGGGCAATGACAGCAAGATCTGGAAGGGTGTGATTGGGAGGAACGGCCTCCCGGATCTGAACCAGAGCAGTGTTTTGTTATAGGACTTCTGTGCAAACCACAGTTTGGCCATAACGAACACCATGTTCGAACATAAGAGTGTCCATAAGTGTACGTGGCACCAGGACACTCTAGGCCGCAGGTCAATGATCAATTTTGTAATTGTATCACCAGACCTGAGGCCCTATGTTTTAGACAACTGGGTAAAGAGATGGGCTGAGCTGTCAACTGATCACCACCTGCTGGTGAGTTGGATCAGGACACAGGACACAGCACAGGACAGACCTGGTGTGCCTAAATGTAAAGTGAGGGTGTGCTGGGAACGCCTAGCAGAGGCTCCGGTCCGCAAGATCTTCAACTCACACCTCTGGCAGAGCTTCAACAGCATTCCGAGGGAGACTGGGGACATGGAGTCCGAATGGACCATGTTCAGCATCTCCATTGCCGAAGCTGCTGCACTGAGCTGCGGCCACAAGGTAGTTGGTGCCTGTCATGGTGATATTCCCCGAACCAAATGGTGGACACCAGAGGTAAGGGGAGCCTCCAAGTTGAGGAAGGAGTCCTGAGGCAGCTGATAGGTACCGACAGGCCAAGCGGAATGCGGCGCGGTCGGTGGCTGAAGCAAAAACTTGGGTGTGGGAGGAGTTTGGAGAGGCCATGGAGAAAGACTTTCGGACTGCCTCGAAGAAATTCTGGCAAACTGTCAGGCGACTCAAGAGGGGAAAGCGGTGCTCTACCTGCACTGTGTATTGTGTGGATGGAGTGCTGCTGACTTCGACTGAGAAAAATGTCAGGCGGTGGAAGGAATACTTCGAGGACCTCCTCAATCCCACTGGCACGTCTTCCGTGGTGGAAGTAGAGTCTTGGGATGAAGGGGATGACCCGCCAATCTCTGGGGGCGAGGTCACTGAGGCAGTTAAACAACTCCTTGGTGGCAGAGTCCACCCCGAGTTCCTGAAGGCTCTGGATGTTGTAGGACTGTCTTGGTTGACATGTCTCTATATTGTTGCATGGAGATCAGGGGCAGTACTACTGGACTGGCAGACCGGGGTGGTGGTCCCCATCTTTAAGAAAGGGGACCAGAGGGTGTGTTCCAACTACAGGGCAATCACACTCCTCAGCCTCCCTGGGAAAGTCTATGCCAGGGTGCTGGAGAGTCCGCTGGAAACAGCTGGTGGAATTTTTTTAAGAGCATTGGTTAGAGGAGAGAGAAAGTTAAGTAAATATTCAGCTAGAACATTTACTAGAAGTGCTGCTCCTGTACGGTGTACTGTATAGCAGATCAACAGAGTGGGAGGGAATAGAAAGATAGGAATAAATAGGAAGCAACAGGACTCGTCCAAAATTATGGCCTTTCTTGTGACTAAATTAATTACAGACCACTTACTTATAGCAAAACTCTTGGGGAAGATGCTCTGTCCTCATTTTGCTGAAGTATTATGTCAGAACAACATCTCTGAAATTCTGAATTTCAGTCATGCTTTAGACATTATCATAGTACTGAGAATGTACTTATGAGGTTTACAAATGAACTACTAATATAGATGAATGCTCTATTTTTGTACTACTTAACCTATTGCAATATTTTATACAATAAACTATCAAACTTTGATAGAGAAACTGCAGCTCCAACCACTCCTGTATCAACCAGTGTACAGTCTTAGATCCGAAGGCAGAAACCTGCTAACTGTTGCCACCTAACATGTAAACCAATTTGCCATTAGAGCTCCTCAGTTGTGGAATGGGAATGGCCTGCCTAACCTCAACTCATAAGTGAATTATCTAAAGCTTTTTAAAAACAAATAAAGTTGAAGTTTATCTGTCTCTCTCTCTATTTCAAATAATGCATATATATATATACATACATACATACATACATATACATATTAGGGGTGCAACGATACACAAAATTCACGGTTCGGTTCGATACTTTGGTGTCACGGTTCAATATTTTGTCGATACAAAAAAAAATGTTCATGCCTTTTTAATTTGTCATTTATTAAAATTATAAATATATATTTTAACTCAAAAGTACAGTTTTTAAATTTAATATGGATTTTACATCGACGCAAACGTGCGTTTGCGTCCATATAAAAGGCACTGTTTTTGTCCACTAGAGTGGGATTTTCATGGCACATTCTGCACCAAATCTCTGTGCGTTCATCATTTGTTTGAAGCCAGCTCACCTCCTGCAACCACTTTTTCGAGAATATGCGCTTCTTTTGTGGTTCGGACTCCTTCTGACATTTCTTTGGAGGTGGAGGAACACCAAAGTAATTGCTTAAAGGAGCTTCTTCGACATCTTTAAGAGTTCTAAACAAATGTCTGTCCTCCTCCAGAAAATCCTATGTACGCAAAAACGCATTGCAACTTCTTATCTTGTGCACGTTTTTTATTTTGACAGCGAATGCGCACCTGTGGACTTTCCCGAGCACTGTGTCGATCTGAGAAAAGCAAGACCGAGACAACGAGACCAAGACAAGACCGAGGGATACGAGACCAAAAGAAGACCAAGACCAAAGTCTGTCGAGACCAAAAGAAGACCAAGACCAAAGTCCGTCGAGACCAAGACCACATAAAAGTGGTCTCGAGACATCCAACTCTAGTTGGACCATTACTTATTTTTCAACAGGACAAACCCCAAACACATCTCCAGGTTGTGTAAGGGCTGTTTAACCAAGGAGAGTGATGGAGTGCTCTGCTAGGCTTCACAGTCACCTGACGTAAACCCCATCATCCCAAACCAAATGGTTTGGGATGATGGGCTTTAAGTCAGATGGTTTGGGATGACGGACTCCAAAGTAAAGGCAAAAGGACCAACAAGTTGTCAGCATCTCTGGAAAGTCCTGAAGATTGTTGGAAAACCATTTCAGGTAACTACCTCATGTAGCTTATCAAGAGAATGCCATGAGTATGCAAAGCAGTAATTAAAACAAAGGGTGGCTATTTTGAAGAACCTAAAATATATAACATGTTTTGTTTTTTACTCACTAAAACTGGAACCACATTAAATTAGAATTGTATCTTATTCTGATTGAGTGCTGCATAAATAGTTTAATTGATTTCTTATTTTTATCCTTTGATTGTTCTTTTTTCATTGTTTCTGAAAAGCACTTTGTAACCCTGGTTTTTAAAAGTGCAGTACAAATAAACTATCATTATTATTATTATTGTTATAATTACAATATTGATGGGCAATTTGTATGGCCAAGTCTTGATATTCACTGATGCTCATGAACATTCTACCTTATGATGAAAATCTGTGAGAGATTTTTAATGGCCCTAAGAACAACAGATAATGTTGTGAGTCAACATAGCATAGTGAAAGCTGATAGAGATCAAGTTAGAGAAAGATACAGATATATAACATCTTAGAAACTGTAAGAGCAATGAAATGCACAGACTAATACTGTAACAACTACACAAAGTGAGAGGGTGTCCCTCACTCACCAGTGAGTGGATGAATGTGGAACTTTCCGTGCTCATTCCCTGATCGGATACTGTAAGTAATCTCAGCATTAGTCCCGATGTCCTTGCTGGCAGCGTAAACTCTCAGAACTTCAGTACCTACTCCCACATCTTCTGGCACAGATGCCAACTGATCACGTCGCTCAAACACAGGTGGATTGTCATTGATGTCCAGGACAGTAATTGTGACATTGACCAGTGAGTAGAGTGGGAGTGGTGAGCCTTGATCAGATGCACAAACTGTTATCTGATAAAATGGCTGGATTTCACGGTCGAGAACTCTTTCCAGGACCACGATGCCTGAGTATTTGTCGATAGAGAAAAATCCTCCTGCAGAGTCAGCCAGGGAATAGATCACCATACGCCCCGGACCTACAGCAATGTCAAAAGAAAAGGGTGAAGCTTTGGGCCTCAGTACACTGAAAACAACACGTTTCCCAGTGCTTGGATTTGTCTTCTTACCAAATGTTGTTATCTTTTGTAGGAGATGATATGAGATTTATACCCAGTTATAAAATTTTTTTTTACTAGTGGCCTGACATAAAACCTCTATAAAACTCTATTAACTATTAGACTGAATATTTTAAGCACTTCAAAATTTGTATACAATTAGTTTAACTTCTTTTTAGTACTACAGTATATTAGGTAAGCTTTTATATTAACATTTCCCTGTTACTATTTTTCTCTAAAAGAACTGGTTTTGATTTTGCATTAGCTTCTTTCACTTCATGCAGGTTTTGAATTAACATGTCTGGAAATGTCTGATAAACAGGGCTGCACATAAGTGGTCCGCAGGTACACATTTGCTGTCAAAATAAAAGACGCGCACCAGACAAGAAGCTGGAACGCGGATTTGCGTAAATAAGATGTTCTGGAGGAGGATAGACATTTGTTCAGAACTCTTAAAGATGTCGATATTTTAAAGATGTAAGCAATTACTTTGCTTACGGAATTTCTCGGAATTTCCGGGAATACGCGCTTCTTTTGCGGTGGAGGAACACCAAAGTAATTGCTTGTGGAGCTTGCTTCTTCGACAGCTTTAAGACTTCTGAACAAATGTCTGTCCTCCTCCAGAACATCTTATGTACACAAACGCGCGTTCCAACTTCTTATCTGGTGCGAGTCTTTTATTTTGACAGCGAATGTGCACCTGAGGACCACTTATGTGCAGCCCTGCTGAAAAAAATATTTCAGAATGTTTTTTCCTTAAAGGTTGTCTCCTTGTGAAATGATTTGTGCCTTCCAGCACTCATGCTATTTTCACACTGCTTCATGAAAGGAAGTTCATAACAGTCCACAAGCAAGGACCTCTGTGTCAATCTAATCCAACTTTCATTTTCAGCATGACCAAACTCTTCCTCGTGGTTCAAACCCAGACATCAGGTCGCAAGCATGATCTGCATCATGCTTAATGACATTTTTGACATTTTTTGTGTTTTTGTGAGAATTCCGGGGAGTGATCCAAAAGGAGTGCTGGAAAGTTTGAGCACTTCAGAAAGAGCCAAATTTCACTTAGGTATGTTGTGTACCTCATTTATATTAAATACTGCTAATTTTTTTTGATGTGGCTCAATTAGTTGCACCTTGAGTAATTGGTTTCTTGTGATGCAGATTAGCAATGGAAGCAGTACTTGTAGTAGTGATAATATAAACAGTTGCCTAGTGTATCACCTTCATCAGGGTCTATGGCCTGGATACGTGTAAGTAGGGCTTTGGTGACTGTGTCTTCATAAACGCTGGTGGTGTACCGAGACTGGGTGAAAATAGGTGGATTGTCATTCACATCAGTTACTGTCAGATACACCACAGCATGGCACCACCGCCCACCACCATCAGTAGCCTGGGCAACCAGTTGATAACTAGGTGTCATCTCACGGTCCAGAGGCACAGATGACTTGATCTCACCTGGACAGGTTTAAAACAAGATATGAAACATTGTGATGGAGCCAAACGGGGGGATGACATTTGGCTTGTGTATGATTAAGTTGCGATTCATGCTAATTCAGAGAAAAAGTGTGTATTTAAAGTTGGTCTGCATCCATACCACTGTCTGGGTCAATAGTGAAGTCTTGGGATCCAGGACCATGTAGAGAGTACTGAATCCAAGCACTGATACCCATATCAGCATCTGTAGCTCCAACCCTCAACAAAACACTAGTGACTGGGAGGTCCTCTGGAATGTAGGCAGTATACATAACCTGCAGTCACACACACACACACACACACACACACACACACACACACACACACACACACACACACACACACACACACACACACACA